GATCTACACTTGGCTGTCTCAATTTTTGAAATGAAGGAAGGAGGGAGACACATCAATGCCCTTTCAAAAGGAACCAAAGTGGTTTTAAAGAGAGGTGGAGCGAGGTTTCGGAGGAGGAGGGGAAAGTTCGGCATTGGCCAGGATACAAATATTAGGAGCACAAAAAGGGCATTTAGAAGCTGCAAACTTCCTAAAAGAAACCAGGAAAAGGGAGCCAGGAAAAAAGCAACAGCGGAAAGATAAAGCCGGGAACTTGGTCCCTAACAATACCGTGCCTTTTTATATATATATATATAGATATATATATTCTGCAATAATCCTCTACGTTCATCTATGCCAGGGATCTACAGATTTGGCCCTTTTATGACTTGTGGACTTCAACTCCCAGAATTCATCAGCCAGCATGCCTGGCTGAAGAATTCTGGGAGTTGAAGTCCACGAGTCATAAAAGGGCCGAGTTTGAAAGACCCCTGATATAGACTTTAAGACAGTATTTCTCAACCTTGACAATTTTAAGGCATGTGGACTTCAACTCCCAGAATTCCACAGCCAGCATGCCTGGCTGAGGAATTCTGGGAGTTGAAGTCCACAAGTCATAAAAGGGCCAAGTTTGAAAGACCCCTGATATAGACTTTAAGAGAAATGGACTTCAACTCCCAGAATTCCTCAGCCAGCATGCCTGGCTGAGGAATTCTGGGAGTTGAAGTTCACAAGTCATACAAGGGCAAAGTTTGAAAGATCCCTGATATAGACTTTAAGAGAAATGGACTTCAACTCCCAGAATTCCTCAGCCAGCATGCCTGGCTGAGGAATTCTGGGAGCTGAAGTCCACAAGTCATAAAAGAGCCAAGTTTGAAAGACCCCTGATATAGACTTTAAGAGGAGTGACTTCAACTCCCAGAATTCCTCAGCCAACGTGCCTGGCTGAGGAATTCTGGGAGTTGAAGTCCACAAGTCATAAAAGGGCCAAGTTTGAAGACCCCTGCTCTACACATTAAACACTAACAATGGAGTCTCGTCCTCACCACAAAGTCTAAAGGTTGTGGTGTTGCAATCACTTCAAAATTGCACAAACATACAGAACTCCGAGGAAAATGAAAGACAGCGGTGTGTTATGTCTTTATTGCATAAAGATTCTGTTAATTTTTCATATAATAAGTAGTGCTTATTACTCAGCGCTAAATAGCTGTGTTTTGTGGTAATACAATCAGCCCCACGTATATATCTGCTGGAGCAAGCACAAAGATTCTACGAGCAAATTAAATTAAAGGCAGTCCTCATTTAGACACCACAACTGGGACCAGCCACTTGGTCATGAGGTGAAAACCACTGTGCTTTACTTCAGTTTTTTGCTATTCTTAATATTTCCTTCAGCCAAACTAGGATTCTCTCTCTCTCTCTTTGAAGAGATCTTGGCATTGGATAAAGAAGCAAATAAAAATAAAAAAAGAGAGAGACACCGTGAAAGTGGTAAATGAAAGGATTGGTTGTTAAGGGGACTTTTTTTTTTGCACTGTGGTAACGTCAAACAAGTCATTAAACAAGGCAGTCGCTAAACGGGGGCTCCCTATACACAAAGGACATTCCATCTTTTCCCCCAAACCACAAAATTACTTTCCTTCCATTAAAAAAAAAAATCTGAGTTGGTTTCGTTTGTCGCAGAAAGCGATTTTGTGTTGGCTTTAAAAATAAAATAAAATCCACAAATTTAACATGGCTGCAAACTTTTTAACAGAAAACTCCAAACGGCAAAGTTAAGAAAATTTACCAAATGCGATTCTGTAACAACGGTGTTTGAATAAAGAGCTTAGAATACAATAGAATAGAATAGAATAGAATAGAATAGAATAGAATAGAATAGAAATAGAAATAGAAAAATTAATAGAACAGAACAGGAATAGAATAGAATAGAATAGAATAGAATAGAATAGAATAGAATAGAATAGAATAGAATAGAATAGAATAGAAATAGAATAAAATAGAAATAGAATAAAATAGAAATAGAATAGAAAAATTAATAGAACATAACAGGGATAGAATAGAATAGAATAGAATAGAATAGAATAGAATAGAATAGAATAGAATAGAATAGAAAAAATTAATAGAACAGAACAGAGCAGAAATAAAATAGAAATAGAATAGAAATAGAATAGAATAGAATAGAATAGAATAGAATAGAATAGAATAGAATAGAATAGAACAATTAATAGAACAGAACAGAAATAGAATAGAACAGAACAGAAAATATATGGAATAGAACAGAATAGAACAGAATGGAATAGAACAGAACAGAACAGAACAGAAAAAATTAATAGAACAGAACAGAAATAGAATAGAAATAGAATAGAACAGAACAGAAATAGAACAGAACAGAACAGAATAGAATAGGAGGTGGAAGGGAGCCTTAGAGGTCTTCTAGTCCAGCCCCCTGCTCAAGCAGGAGAACCTATACCATTTCAGACAAGTGACTGTCTAGTCTTTTCTTAAGAGAAGCACTGGGCTAAGCCACTTAGCCTTGCCCGAAATTGACCAGTGGAGCCAGACCATGTCCCTGCTCAATGAAGTCCATCCTTCATGCCTCTTTAAGCCTGCCTTGTCTTGTCATATCCACGGCAGCAAATGAAACAGATATTGGCGCAATGATCACATTACGTCAGGAACGGAATGGTGGAGGAATGCAATCTGAAATTTGACACAAAGAAGACAACAGAGGAAGGGAAAGGAAACAGAGAGGAGATGGGTTAAACCGAGGAAAAATGAATGTTCATTTATTCCAGGGCTGAGTTAAGACCACAGTCTAAACCAGGGGTAGGCAACCTTGGCTCTTTTATGACCGGTGGACTTCAACTCCCAGAATTCCTGAGCCAGCATGGCTCAGCTTGGAAACCTCTCCTTTTCCCCTCAATGTGGCTGGCTCAGGAATTCTGGGAGTTGAAGTCCACGAGTCATAAAAGAGCCAAGGTTGCCTACCTCTGGCCTAGGCCTAGGCTGCTTTATGACTGGTGGACTTCAACTCCCAGAATTCCTGAGCCAGCCTGGCTCAGCTTGGAAACCTCTCCCTTTCCCCTCAGCGTGGCTGGCTCAGGAATTCTGGGAGTTGAAGTCCACGAGTCATAAAGCGGCCTAGGCCTAGACCTAGGCCAGAGGTAGGCAACCTCGGCTCTTTTATGACTGGTGGACTTCAACTCCCAGAATTCCTGAGCTAGCCTGGCTCAGCTTGGAAACCTCTGCCTGTCCCCTCAGCATGGCTGCCTCAGGAATTCTGGGAGTTGAAGTCCACCAGTCATAAAAGAGCCAAGGTTGCCTACCCCTGGTCTAAACCAACAAAGAGCTTCTACACAACATGGAACCCTTCCATCGGCACCACAGAATAAAAAAAAACCAAAACTCTGTGACAGGCAGATCTGCTAGGTTTACTGTGCCTGGGAACCTCCTACGCAACCACATTTTTCCAGGGGTCTCCAAACTTGGCAACTTTAAGACTAATGGACTTCGAGAAAATTCCTCAGGCAGCCATGCCGGGCAAGTTTTCGGGCACCAGGGACCGGTTCCGTGGAGAGGGGTTTTTCCACGGACCGGAGAGTGCGTGGTTTTGTGTGCTGCCTGCATCCCACGGATGGGGCTTTGCTTGTTTGTGCGGACCGGTTGCTGGCGTGCCACGGCCCGGTACCGGTCCATGGACCAGGGGTTGGGGACCCGTGTTAGGATCCTATTGTTAGGAAGTTACACTTGGAGGAGGGGGTGTCCCAGGAGGTGGGTCTTCTCTGCCATAGTGCCCACCTAAGGGAATATTACACACACACACACACACACACACACACACAGAGAGAGAGAGAGAGAGAGAGAGAGAGAGAGAGAGAGAGAGAGAGAGAGAGAGAGAGAGAGAGAGAAGTGATAATAGCTGCATCTCTGTTGGTTTTCTGGAAGTCCCTCAAAATACGGCTACATCATCAAGCTAATGAGATATGGAGATGGCTCCATTTTCTTTTTGTTAACATGTCATTTTCACTTAGCCTTGTGATTTTTTTAAAATATATTTAATAATGATTATATGTACGCCACCTGCTGTAACTTTTTGTAAGATGGGCAACCATTTGTCTGAAATGGAATAGGATTTCCTGCCTGAGCAGGGGGTTGGACTAGAAGACCTCCAAGGTCCCTTCCAACTATTCTATTCTATTCTAATTTCCATTCCATTCCATTCCTGTTCTGTTCTATTTTCTATTCTGTTGTTCTATTCTCTATCTATTCCATTATTCTATTCTATTCTATTCTATTCTATTCTATTCTATTCTATTCTATTCTATTCTATTCTATTCTATTCTATTCTATTCTATTCTATTCTATTCTCCATTGCATCTATTCTACTCTATACTCTACTCTATTCTATTCTCCATTGCATCTATTCTATTCTATTCTAGTCTAGTCTAGTCTATTCTCCATTGCATCTATTCTACTCTGTACTCTACTATATTCTATTCCATTGCATCTATTCTATTCTATTCTATTCTATTCTATTCTATTCTATTCTATTCTATTCTATTCTATTCTATTCTATTCTATTCTATTCTATTCATGAGCACTATTGGCAAAATCACTAAGAGTCAATTGCAAAAGGCAGCTCTACTCAGAACAGCTTACAACCTATGACGACACATTTCACCTTTAACCTTTAACCCCTCCATCCTCTACCTAACCCACTCCCTTGGGAAGGACCCGAGACCGGTGGACAAAAAAATGTCAAATCGCGTCTGAACCTCTAAGCTGACCGTGCAACGAATCGGAAAGAAGAATCACCACAAAAGTCGGCTTTTCCTTAGAACAGCTTCCATCCTGCGACAATGCCTTTCAACACCACCACCACCACCACACACCACAACATTTTCCTCTCCTGGATTCCTCGGAAAGGACGCTGAGAGCCGAACGAAAATGCCAAACCCAAACTTAAAACATCCGGCGGAACAACAGCAATAATAACGATAAACGTCGGAGTGTCTCACCTGTATTTTTATCGGCCAGGTGAAGTTGCTGACGTAGACGAAGAACGTGATGTTCGGGTTGTTGCGGAAATCAAATTTCTCGTTGGAGAAGCTGTCCTTATACTCCTTGATCTGGTTTTTGGAAACCACGGGGATCTCCTCTCCGGCCTGCGTACCGGCTTTTGGGAAATTTAAATGGAAAAGGACAAAGGAAATGAGAAAGGGCACGAACGTCGGGACCTTTGGGGATATAAATTGAAACTGTCAATCAATCACAGGGACCCCACTCAGGGCTGTTGACCCGGTGACATCTATCAAACTTCATCTAACTCTGACAGGTGCTGGGAGAACTGCTGAGGGACCAATCAGACCAATTTGAGGACAGCCAAATTATCAGTATAATAACATCAGTATAATACAGGCAACCCTAATACAGTATGATACAGGCAATCCCCAAGAGAGCCCAAAATTTCTTTTTTTTAAAGAAAATTTTATTGATTTTTTAGTTTTACATTTAAATATTTGAAAAGCAACGTGGCGGCTGAGTTGATCCATCATTCAGTAACACACAAATATCTTTAGTACAGATCTCAAACGATTACATTAAATATTTCCTCTCTTCTCCCCTTGGTGGATTTACCGCCTCGTATTTAAATTAATACAATTCTTATTCTATCGATTAAATAAAAATAACTTTCTTACGCTGATCGATAATTTTTAGTTTATACATAGCCTAGTTATTTTAACGTTCAATCTTTTTAGACACTCAGTGTCCTAATTGGTTTTCCCCCCCCCCAATTTTTAGTTTCCCATTAATATTTAAATTTAACGTTGAATATTTATGGTTTCCGAGTTTTAAATAAGCCCAATTCCCTTTATCAACCCCACTTAGGGCTGGGGTGACATCTGTCAAACTTCATCTACCACTGAGGGACCAATCAGAGCCGTTCTATTGAGGACAGCCAAATTATCAATATAATACAGGTAATCCTTGCCTTAAATCCCCAAGGGAACCCAGAATTTCTGTGACTATGCAAGGGAGAGTTCTTAAGTGAGTGTGGTGCCATTTTACGACCTTTTATGCCAGCGTTGTTAAGCGAATCAGGCAGTTGTTAAGGCACCAAGGAAAGAACTGAACTGTCTCTCTCTCTGTCTTCAGCATCCTTTCTTCCCATTCTGATCTTGTCCCCACCCATTCCAGCTTCTTCGTTTGTAGAAGGCAGGGTTAGATGAAGGCAGGACGAGAAGCAACGGATGGAAACTAATCAAGGAGAGAAGCAACCTAGAACTAAGGAGGAATTTCCTGACAGTGAGAACAATTAACCAGTGGAACTACCTGCCTCCAGAAGCGGTGAATGCTCCAACACTGGAAGTTTTCAAGAAGAGACTGGACAGCCATTTGTCTATAATGGTGTAGGGTTTCCTGCCTGAGCAGGGGGTTGGACTAGATGACCTATGAGGTCCCTTCCAACTCTGTTATTCTGTTATCCTTCCTTCCTTCCTTCCTTCCTTCCTTCCTCCTTCCCTCCCTCCCTTCTCCAACACTGGAAGTCTTTAAGAAGAGACTGGACAGCCATTGGTCTGAAATGGTATAGGGTTTCCTCCCTGAGCAGGTGGTTGGACTAGATGACCTCCAAGGTCCCTTCCAACTTTATTATTATTATTATTAATTATTATTATTATAAATCCTTATTGGCAAGCAATGGCTTGTACACAATCCTTCAAACCACAATTGGACTTTGCGGACTTTTGTGGTGGCTGTTTTTAATTCCTCTGGCTGAAAGTCTTGGGAAACATCTCCACACCAACACTGTGGCTTCATCGTCTGACCTGGGTTATGTACAGGTGGGCCTCGGCTAACGACAGTTCATTTAGTGACCGTTCAAACTTACAACGTCCCTCAAAAAAAAGGGACGGGACCGTTTTTCACACTTGCAACTGTTGCAGCATCCCCCGCGGTCGTGTGATCAAAATTCAGACGCTCAGCCACTGACTCATATTTATGACGGTCGCAGTGTGCCAGGGTCCCGTGATCCCCTTTTGCGAGCTGATCAAAGTCAATGGGGAAGGCAGATTTGACGGAACAACCGTGTTACTGCATTGATTCCCTTAACAGCTGTGGCAAGAAAGGGCGTAAAATGGAGCAAAACTCACTTAACAACCGTCTCGCTTAGCGATAGAAATATTGAGCTCGGTTTTGGTCGTAAGTCGAGGATTACCTGTAGCCGAAGTCCCACTTTAGCTTTGAGAAGGCGGCGACCACATCATCCTTTGTAAAACCACGAGTGACCTTCTTTAATACAAGGTAGTCCTCGACTTAATGACCACAATGGAGCCTAACGTTTCTGTTGCTAACCAAGATGGTCGTTAAGTGAATTTTGCCCCGTTTTATGACCTTTCCTGACCCAGCTGTTAAGTGAATCACTGCAGTTGTTAAGTTAGCAACAAAACTGTTCAGTGAATCCCCACTGATTTTGTTTGTCTGAAGGTCGCAAACGGGACACGCCAACCGTCACACATACGAGTCAGTTGCCAAGCGCCTGAATGTTGATCACGCGACAAGGAGCCCGCCACAGTTGTTAAGTGTGAAAGACGGTCCTAAGTCCCTTTTTGCAGCCCCGCTGTAACTCTGAACGGTCACTAAACGCATGGCTGTAAAGCGAGGACTTAGCTGCAGACTAAACAGCCCATCCTTGCGGGCCGATTCCCAGCAATAGCCCAGCCGTGAGCGGTAAAAGATATTGACATTTTAAACATGTTCTCAATTGCTCAGTTGGCACTTGGCGTTTGCTTGATTTTTATGTCTGAAGAGAGCGCTGACAGCTTAAATTTCAGCAGTAACATTTCTGGACACGCTTAGAAAAAGCCCCAAGGAAACCGTCTCAGTTCCTATCAGAAAGTGAACAGGCGGCCAAGGGTTTGGTGACAGATCAAACTGAACATGCCTTAGTGAGGAAAATGGCCGTGCTCTGACATTTTAAAGCCAGGCTGGGGCTTTATGACTTGTGGACTTCAACTCCCAGAATTCCTGAGCCAGCATGGGGAACTGTGGCCCCTTTTTGACCTGTGGACTTCAATTTCCAGAATTCCTGAGCCAGCATGGGGGAACTATGGCCCCTTCATGACCTGTGGACTTCAACTCCCAGAATTCCTCAGCTGGCATGGGGACCTCTGGCCCCTTTATGATTCATGGACTTCAACTCCCAGAATTCCTGAGCCAGCATGGGGAACGGTGGCTCCTTCATGACTTGTGGGCTTCAACTCCCAGGATTCCTGAGCCAGTATGGGCAACTAAGGCCCCTTTTTGACTTGCGGACTTCAATTCCCAGAATTCCTCAGCCGGCATAGGCAACTAAGGCCCCTTTTTGACTTGTGGACTTCAATTCACAGAATTCCTGAGCCAGCACGGGGAACTTTTATGCTTAAGGCTGAACTAGAACTCACTGTCTAGCGAGACATTGGTTAAGTGAGTTTTGCCCCATATTACAACTTCTCTTGCCACCGTTGTTAAGTGAATCACTGCAGTTGTTAAGTTAGTAACCCGGTTGTTAAGTGAATCTGGCTTCCCCGTTGACTTTGCTGTCAGACGGTCGCAAAAGGGGATCACGTGACCCCGAGATGCTGCGACCGTCATAAATATGAGTCAATTGCCAAGAGTCTGAATTTTAATCAACGGTGATGCTGCAACGATCATGAATGTGAAAAACGGTCATAAGCCCCTTTTTTGAGTGGCGTTGCAACGGTGAACGGTCACTAAAGGAATGGCTGTTAAGTCGAGAACCACCCGTGGAAGGGAGCATTTCTCACCTGCAAAGCTGGTCGACCAGGTGATGTTAAGGTTGAAGTTTTTCGAAGCGTTGATGAACATATCCAGGTCTCGGTTTGGCTGGTTTTGAGGAAAGGAGAGAGAAAAAGAGGGATGAGTGAGTTTTAAGCATCCGGCAATTTCTACACAAACCGTCGGCGTCATTTTGGTACGAATAAAGTGAGCCCCAGCTTCTGATCTCCCTCCTCCGTCTTAAAAACAATTCGCTGTTACGGTTAATCTAAGCGATTTCTCATTTTTGCAAGGAAACTGATCTCCAGACAGTTCGCGAAGCAAAGCAGGAATGGAGACAAAACGGGATGAAAACGAACACGTCAAACCAAGCGGTCGGAAAATACTTTTTCAGTGCCGTTTTTATACTTTGCACCGTCACTAAATGAACTGTTGTAAGTCGAGGACTACCTGTACTGCATATAAATTTCATGTGTTCTCTGGTGGTATTCTAACAAGAAGACTAAGATACAATTATAAACGGTCATTTTGCCATTGGTGCAACAACAAATGGTAGCAGAATAGAAATAGAAATAGAAAAATAATGAATAGAATAGAATAGAATAGAATAGAATAGAATAGAATAGAATAGAATAGAATAGAAATAGAATAGAATAGAAATAGAATTAATAGAATAGAAATAGAAATAGAATAGAACAGAATAGAAATAACAATAGGAAAGAATTAGAATAGAATAGAATAGAATAGAATAGAATAGAATAGAATAGAATAGAAATAGAAATAGAATAGAAATAACAATAGGAAAGAATTAGAATAGAATAGAATAAATAGAATAGAAAAGAATAGACAAGAATTAGAATTAGAATAGAATAGAACAGAATAGAAATAACAATAGGAAAGAATTAGAATAGAATAGAAAATAATTATAATAGAATAGAATAGAATAGAATAGAATAGAATAGAATAGAATAGAATAGAACAACAGAGTTGGAAGGGACCTTGGAGGTCATCTAGTCCAACCCCCAGCTCAGGCAGGAAACCCTACACCATTTCAGACATTAAATGGCTGTCCAGTCTCTTCTTAAAATGGAGCATCCACAACTTCTGGAAGCAAGCAGTTCCACTGGTCAATTGTTCTCACTGTCAGGAAAAGTTCTGCTTGCTTCTCCCCACACAATACATTTTGATGGCCCACAACGGCCGAGACCTTTAAAGACTCAACCCCGTGCCCCGTTGGGAGCCCTTACCAACCTCTTCCGGGGTGGCCACAAAATTGATGGCTGTGTAATAGCGGTCGTCTTCTTGGGACAGACTGAAGGTGAATTGATAGTCAATCAGGAGGGTGTCTGCGCGGAAGCACGAGAAAGAGAGAGAGAGAGTTAGGATATAAATTGGTACAGGCAGCCCTCGGACGTACGGCCACGATGCAGCCAACATTTCCGTTGCTAAGCGAGACAGCTACTAAGTGAGTTTCGCCCCACTTTACGATGTTCCTCGCCCCGGCTGTTAAGCGACCCCCTGCAGCTGTTCGGTTGTTAAGTCAGGCGGGCTGCCCCCGTTGACTCTGCTTCTCCGGTGGTCGCCAAAGGGGGTCACGTGACACACACCCCCCGGGGACACTGCAACCGTCATAAATACGAGTCAATTGCCGAGCATCTGAATTTTGATCACAGGACCGTCAAGTGTGGGAAAAGGGTCCTAAGTCCCCTTTTTCAGTGCCATTGTAACTTCGAATAGTCACTAAACGAGCCGTCGTAAGGGGAGGACTGCCTTATAAGCCTTATTGTTAGGTCGAGGCACTGGAGCGGGGGCAGTGAAGGCTGAAAGACCCCGTCATGCTTCATCTCAGACACGGCCCTATGAAAAATATCTTGCTATTTTATTTAGCAGCTGGAAGCGCTTTCAACAATCCAGCAGGACAGACACGGCCAGCGGCGTGTTTAATCTCTTTTCACGGACTGACGCCGTCCGAAACACGGACCGAATGCTGATTATTAGGGATGGAGCCCAACTCGGGAGGAGCCCAGCTCTACCAACACCGGACCGGCTTCTGGATCTCAGGGATTCCCATTCTTAAGACCCGTTTGTTCTGGCGGGCATTTAATTTCTCCGGAGAGGTTTTTCATTATTATTCCATTTTGTCTCTGGCCCTTCTCTTTTTCCATTTGAGCCTCTCATTCAGGGGTCTCCAAACCCCGGTCTGCGGACCGGTACCGGGCCACGGCATGCCAGCAACCGGTCCGCACAAAAACAAGGAAAATCTCTCTCCACGGAACAGGTCCCTGGTGCCCAAAAGGTTGGGGGGGGAGGAGGAAGAGGGGAGGAGGGGAGGAGGGGGAGGAGGAAGAGGAGGAGGGGAGGAGGGGGAGGAGGAAGAGGAGGAGGGAGGAGGGGGAGGAGGAGGAGGGGAGGAGGAAGAGGAGGAGGAGGAGAAGGGGAAGGAATTGCTTTTTAATGTGCTCTAATTGGTTTTTAATGTGTCGTTTGAAAACGAAAGGGAAAGAAGACACAGGAGGCTTTCAAACATGGGATAATTTTTATACATGGCTAGAAAAATGGAGTTGAGAGAAGGAATGGGAGTTGTGTTATTGTTATTAATGTCAAATATGTGGACCCAGACAGCACGTAGTTTACTAAGCACTAAAGATTTGTAACCGTCCGTCTGTCTGTCTGTCTGTCTGTCTCTTATCTATCTATCCATCCATCTATCTTTTTCTATCTTATCTATCTTCCTATCCATCCATCCACCACCCACCCACCTACCTATTTTTCTTTATTTTTCTTTCTTTCTTTCTTTCTTTCTTTCTTTCTTTCTTTCTTTCTTTTCTTTCTTTCTTTCTTTCATTATCTATCTATCTATCTATCTATCTATCTATCTATCTATCTATCTATCTATCTATCTATCTATCTATCTATCTATCTATCTTATCTATCTATCCATCCATCCATCCATCTTTTTCTATCTTATCTACCTACCTACCTATCTATCTTATCTATCCATCTTTTTCTATCTTTTCTATCTTTTTCTATCTTATCTACCTACTACCTACCTATCTTCCTATATACATCCGTCCGTCCGTCCGTCCGTCCGTCCGTCCGTCCGTCCATCCATCCATCCATCCATCTATCTATCTATCTATCTATTTATCTATCTATCAAAATTTACATGGCCACCCACTCACTTTCAGTGACTCTGGGCAGGTTATAAAAAAAATAACAACCCAATATCCCAACAACAAAAACAATAACCCCTTTAATTTTACCTGAACGTAGGTGAAGGGAGAGAGGAAGAAGGATAAAAGGAACAAGCAGAGTCATTAGCTCAGTGACCTTGACAAAATATCTCTGAGAAAGAAACTTCAAAGGAGCAACCCAGGCCTGCCCCTTCCTGCCCCTCCTCTGGTCTCCTGCTAGATCTATAAATCCCGGACTCCCCAACAGGGGAAAGAAAATGTAATTTCCACTCACAGTAGCAGGTTCCTTTGAGAGGGTTACCCTGGTATCGATTCTCGACTTCACACCTGGAGGAAAAAAGCATTCAAAGCGTGGGCCTCTCGCCATAACTCTCTCCGGTACACGAACATAACAACTTTTATTTCTCTAGTTGATTTGTGCTTCCCAGGAACAATCGGGACTAGCACCAGGTTTTTTTTTTAGAAGCAGATAAAAGTCAGAGTGATCTTCCTTATACAGGTGATCCTCCATTTACGACCCAGCTTTTCCACTGCGAAGGCAAAGCAGTCATTCCCGGGAGTTTTGCCCCGTTTTAGACCTTTCTTGCCACGGTCGTTCAGCGAATCGTGTGGTCGTTAAGCGAATTGTGCAGTCGTTAAGTAATCCGACCTGCCCCATCAACTTTGCTTGTCAGAAGCCGGCTTGGGAAGGTTACAAACGAGGGTCGCGTGACCCCGGAACAATGCAACGGTTGTAAATGCCCGTTGCCAAGCGTCAGAATTTCGACCACTTGACCGTGGAGATGCTCCAATGGTCGTTAAGCGTGGAAAAGGGTCATCGGTCACTTTCTGCAGGGCTGTCGTGACTTCGGACGTTCGCTAAACGAACGCTTGCAAGCCGCGGAGCCCCTGCACTGCGTAGGCGCTGTCTCTACACACTCATCAACACACACACATCTCCAGTTCTCATTCTGCTCCCCGAAGCCTTTTTTTTTTTTTTCTCGCAACCAACCTGGCTAACAAGCCAGTTTTCTTGGTTACCTGGCTAACAAGCTGACATACAGTAGTGGCCAAAATTGTGGAAACCTTTTGGGGAAAGTGTATTTTTGAGGTTGGATGGCTAATAACACCCCCTTTTTGGGGGAGGAGTACCCTAAAATTATTTATCGATGGAAAGATAATTTAATCAAGAACGTAATGCAACAAAGTTTGTTTAATTATCTGTACTGTATTCTATGAAAAGTTACAGCCAGGTGGTTTTCTTGCAGACGTTTCATCACCCAACTAGGTAACGTCATCAGTTCTAGAAGGGAATGGGGAAGGGGAGGAGGAGGAAGAGGAAGAGGAGGAGGAGGAGCAGGGGGAGGATTGTGGGATTCTTCCTGCTCTCAGAGCTTGGCTATTTTCTTTCATGACCCAACTAGTAACATCATAAGTACTACCAGTGTTATTGATTACTGTATTGGTACTAAAGCACTCATGGGACACCCCCTTCCCCTTCTAGCACTGATGATGTTCCCTAGTTGGGTGATGAAATGTCTGCAAGAAAACCACCAAGCTCAGAGAGCACCAAGGACCCCACAATCATCATCTTCTTCTACTTCTACTTCTACTTCTACTTCTACTTCTTCTTCTTCTTCTTCTTCTTCTTCTTCTTCTTCTTCTTCTTCTTCTTCTTCTTCTTCTTCTTCTTCTTCTTCTTCTTCTTCTTCTTCTTCTTCTTCTTCTTCTTTTTCTCCTTCTTCTTCTCCTCCTCCTCCTCCTCCTCCTCCTCCTCCCAAATTCAATTCCCTTCTGGCACTGATATTACCTAGTTGGGTAATGAAACATCTGTAAGGAAACCACCCAGCTCAGAGACCATCAAGAACCCACAGTCCTCCTCCTCCCTCCCTCCTCTCTGCAAACCCCACTCCCTACTAGCACTGATGATGTTACCTAGTTGAGTCATGAAACGTCTGCAAGAGAACCCCCAAGCTCAGAAAGCACCAAGGACCCTACAGTCCTCCTCCTCCTCCACCACCACCACCACCCCACTCCCTTCCAGCACTGATGACGTTCCCCAGTTGGGTGATGAAACGTCTGCAAGAAAACCACCCGGCTCAGAGAGCACCCAGCCCTCCCCCTCCTTCCAACCCAGAGCCGCAGAGATTCCTCTCCTCGGCGTTGTCTCGATCCCCAGGGACAGGAGCGCAGGGGGTCAGGGGCTCCCAGGGTGTTTCCAAGTGGCCACTCACAGCTGGCACTCTTCTCCTTTGATCCCTTTGGTGGTGCAGAAGCACTTCCCGGTGTTGGCGTTGCAGACGGAGGCGTGGCCGTTGCACTTGCAGGCTGAAAGAGAAGGAAGCGTGTCCGACAATCTGTAAATACAAGCCTTTGGTCCAGGAGTATCGCGCAAAGCAGGCAGGCGGAGGAGATTCCCAGACTTTAACAGGCGGTGCGCAGGGAGTCCTCGGCTTACGGCCACAACTGAGCCCCAAATTTCTGTGGCTGAGCCAGACAGTTGTTTTGGCCCCATTTTACGACCTTTCCTGCCTTGGTCGTTAAGTGAATCACTGCGGTTGTTCGTTTAGTAACCCGGTCGTTAAATGAATCCGGCCTCCCCCATGGACTTTGCTTGGCAGAAGGTCGCAAATGGGGAACGCGTGACCCCGGGACACTAAAACTGTCGCAACCCTGAGTTATGACAAGCTTCTGAATGTGGATCGCGTGACCAACGGTCGTAAGGGTGAGAAACGGTCATGGATCCCTTCTTTCGGTGCCGTTGTAACTCTGAACGGTCACTAAAGAAACTGCTGTAAGCCGAGGACTAGCTGTAGAAAACACAGGGTATCTTCTCCTCTAAGGAGAAGCCTAGAAAGCCACAGGGTGGCCGTCTACACACGCCAGGACCGTTTAGCCAACGCAGATCTGAAAGGGAAAAGGTGACCGAAATAATT